TATTTTACAATACCCTGCTATAAAAAAGTAATACGAAAAAAAACATGTAATTTATTTTGAATATATAATAAATCTTTCTTAAATTTGCTTATACAGGGTGTCTCAGAAGAATTAATGACTGAGTTGTTAAAGAACAAATATCCAATCAGATTTAGGGATTTAACACGTTACTATGGAAATATGCACTTTAACACCTTTTAAATTTAACAAGTTTTTACAAGTTTAATGGAGGCAAAATCAATCTTATCTTATCAAGGGGTAGCCCCGCCCATCCGCCCCTACTTTCTCAGAGTTTATATCATTTGCCAAAATAAGTTTTGTCTTTGCAAGTACTAGCCCCGCCCACCCGCCCTCTATTTTTTCAGAAGATATGACATTTGCCAAAATCAGTCTTATATTAGCAAGTACTAGCCCCGCCCACCCGCCCTCTATTTTTTCAGAAGATATGACGTTTGCCAAAATCAGTCTTATCTGAGCAAGTACTAGCCCCGCCCACCCACCCCTACTTTTTCAAAGGGTATGGCATTTGCCAAAATCAGTCTTATCTTCGCAAGTACTACACTCTGAGAAAATAAAGGGCTGGTGGGCGGGGCTATTTATTGCTTGCTAACATAAGTCTTATTTTGGCAGATGACATATCCTCTGAAAAAATAGGGGGGCGGGTGGGCGGGCCTAGTATTTGCTAAGATAAGACTGATTTTGGTAAATGACATACCCTCTAACAAAGTAAAGGGTGGGTGGGCAGGGCTAGTACTTACTAAGATAAGACTTATTTTGACAAATGACATATCCCCTGGGAAAATAGGGGGAGGGTGGGCGGGCCTAGTGTTTGTCAAAATAAAACTGTTTTTGCCCCTATTAATCTTGTAAAAACTTGTGAAATTTAAAGGTGTTAAATTGCAAATTTAATTTTTTAGATTTGCGTAGTATACAGGTGGCTCAAAAGAATTAATGAATGTGTCAATTTATCTTGTTGATTAAGTCAGGAACGGCTTACTCCATTTTCCCGGAAAATTTTGGGAACACAATACTGTTATTTTTAGTTAACTCAAAAGTGCTGAATATATTTGTAGAAAACGTTAAAATATGTGTATTAGTAGTTTATCGAATTCCAACTAGTAATGGAAATGACTTTATTGATTTCTTTTCTAATATTTTAGACAAAGTATATACCATAAACAGTAAATTTATAATATGTGGAGATATAAATATAGATCTTTTAAGTAATGATAAGTACAAACAAATTTTTATAAATCTATTGTATGAGTATAATATAATACCTCATATCAATGTTCCAACTCGGATAACAAAAAACTCTAAGACTTGTATTGATAATATTTTTTCTGATCTCGAGGTTGTGTATAAGTTAGCAGAGGATACTGTTTTATCGGATCACCGCTACGTGATATGTCATTTTTCTATAAGTAACTTTAAAAAGAAGGAACCGTATCACGTCTTTAGGAGAATTGTAAGTCCAAATAATGTGAGAGTATTTAGTGAATATATCGAGAATGTAAACTGGGAATCATTCAGAAGTATGAAAGGCGATTTTCAAGGAAAATTTGATTCTTTTTATCAGACTGTGTTGTATTATTATGATTTAGCGTTTCCTGTTACTAAAATTAAGGTTAATAAGGACAGAAATTTTTATTTGCCTCAATATATCAAAGATGTGCACAAATTACTTTGCGAAATGTCAGCTGTTGATAAGCAAATAAATAATATTATTATCATAGTAGGTTCGTAGCATTAAAATCCACATATCGCCTACTAATTTTCCAGTATTCAATTGATAGAAATAACACGAGGATATTGGGTGCAGAAAACAAAACGAAAGAAAGTTGGCGAATAGTAAATGAGTATAGAGGTAAAAAAAGTGAACCCATTACGAAAATTGTTGATAGCGATTCAAGAGTATATAATGATACTAAAGAAATTTGTGAATGCTTTGCTGATTTTTTTTCATATGTTGATGTCTCAGAGCCACTATATGATAGTTATAATTTCTATAATTCATAGTGAAAAAACAATTTTCTTACAGCCCTTTACACCTAACGAGGTAATAACATTAATATTGAAAACCACAAGAAAAACTACTCCTGGAATTGATAATATTGACGGCCGGGCACTTAAAGCAGTGGCAGTTGCTTTAGCTGAACCTCTATGTTATTTCATAAATGAATCCTTTGAGACAGGAGTTTTTCCCGACAGCTTGAAACATTCCAAGTGTGTACCAATATTTAAAAAACGGGATCAAAATTCAACAAATCAGATTATCGGTCAGTGTGCATACAAAGTCAGATTGGTAAAGTTTTAGAGACAGCTTTTTTAGAAAGATTGACAATATTTCTTGAAAACAATAACCTATTATCAGATACTCAACATGGTTTCAGGAAAAATAGAGCTACGCATACTGCACTTTCGGTGATAGTGGATTTTATTCATGACGCACTTAATGGGAGGAATGAGGCTGTTGCAATTTTGTTTGATTTAACTCGTGCATTCGATACGGTTGACCATAACTTGCTGTTAAAGAAGGTTTAGGGAATAGGAATAAGAGGAGTTGCACATTCATGGATTAAGTCTTATTTGGAGAATCGCACCCAAAGTGTAAATATAGGGAACTGTACATCCAGGAGCAGATCTATAAAAGTTGGGGTTCCTCAAGGGTCACTATTAGGACCTATTTTATTTATTATGTTCAGCAATGATTTATCTCTTGCATGTGGTAAATATGGTACAATAGTAAAGCTACGCGGATGATACAAGCATACTTGAACTTGTATCGAGTGGCATTGTCAAAAAAATTTAATTGATAGCTGTAATGTTGAATCTAACCAATTTCATAACTATTGTAAAGTGAATTTGAACAAAAAGAAAACCTGTTATATCCGTTTTCTCCCTAAAAATGCTACAATTGATAAAAGTCTGCTTCTACGTCTTGATAACTTGTCAATACGATCGACTGAATGTGTAAAAATATTAGGTTTAATTTTTTATTGTAAATTGAAATGACATTCTCATATTGATGAGTTATTACAGAAAATCAGCAAAACTTGTTATTTATTCCGATGTTTGCGTAATTGTGTTTCTTCTCATGTTTTAAGATCTGTCTATTTTGCTATGGTTCAATCGCGCCTTACTTACGGTATTTCTTTTTGGGGTAAATCTGCATCCGCAGAAAAAGTTTTTAAATTGCAAAAACGGCTACTGAGAATTATGTTTTATTTACATCCACGATCCTCGTGTAAAGAGATTTTTGTATTACATAACATATTAACAGTTCCTTCATTGTATATTTTGGACTTGGTTACAAATATTAAGACTTTTAAAAGTTTGCCAGTTTCCAAGAGTTGGGCAAATACAAAGTAGTCACAATTTAAGAAATAATGAAGATTTACAAATGAATTTCTCAAGGTTGGAGATTGGTAAGCAAAATATAAATTATATAGGTGTACTTTGCTACAATAAAGTCAGAAAAGTGATAAAGGATTGTGACTTAATGAGTATTAGTTTATTTAAGAAAAAGGTTCGTAGCCACTTAAGCAGTAGAGCGTATTGTAGCATTGATGAATATTTGTGTTCCCAATTTTGACTAGACCTATGTACTGTAGAAGTATTTGTGTCACAATAAACTTAAACTTAGTTTCATTGTACTTTGGGTGCGAGGGAAGTTCGTTCGAAACATCTTTCGACCAATTTTTTTTAACTGCTCTTGCGTTAAATAGCGAAAGGTGTGGAGTGGTTGTACGTAAAATTTCATTACAATAATTCTGTTAATAACAAAAATACTACATTCTGAATTGAAAATACCATGATCCAGTTTCAAAGATCTAGATGTTGAAAACAAAAAAGAATTAATTAGTAAACTAAAAGTATAGATATCAGTATGTATTATGTTATAAAACTTCAATAAGATTTAGTTAGCAAAATTTTGAGTTGACGTCATAAATTTTTTTACTTGTAATTTACAATAATTAAATAAATGAAAAAATTCATCTAAATAGACAACTGAACTTGTTTAAGTAATTATGTTTTAGAGCAAGGGCAGTTCTGTCTAAACAACGTTAGCCCAATTTTTGTAGTTCTAGTTTATTTTTCGTTTTAAAGTTATCAATTGCTTTATTATACTTTCATATAAATTTATCATAAGATTCTTATGGTTGCATTTAATCATTGGGGCTACTATGAACAATTTGATAAAACATTGCTAGTTTCTCGTAATTTAAAACTAAGCTTTAAGTCTGTTGCTACGCTGAAGTTAACAAGAAATAACGTCAAAGATGACGGGTAGTAACTGAACAAGTTTTATTGTTTCGTAGTTTACACTTGACGTATATGTATAATGTTGTAATAATTTATATTATCTAAACACAAGAGGGAAACAATATAAAAATAAATAAATAATAGAGTTGTTCTTTCCGTAATCGTTGCAAGTCATTTCACCTTCGATTCGTGTGGAGATCGACAATTTGCTCCCCCATTTTAACGCAACAACGACGTTAAAGGGCATTAGTTTTTCCCTCGTTTTAAATTACCTTCAAGGTACATTCCCATGTCTTGGATCGATATAAATAATTGGCTTAACGATCTTCCAGACCCCTCTTCAAATAAACATAACTGAATTTAACTGAATTGGCTTAAACGAATGAAGCGAGTTCACGGATTACTGTTTTGAAATACGAAATCCGTTTATCTTTTTAGTTTATCTGTCAGATTTTAGTCTTCATACATATACTTTAACAGGGGTATCTATCAAGCTTCAGAGAGGAGGAAAAATATTAAGATCGATTTTTTTTTTCATTTAATTTCTAATAAAAAACATCTATGTAGTTTGGTATAACTTTACTGTTAAAACTGCTAAATCGCATCGCATTCAATAAAATATTATCAACGTCGTTAACTCACGAACCGACTACTTAGTTTTCCAAAAAAATATCCACTCGCCTGAAATTGTTTTAGTAAATCAAGTTTTACCTTAATTCCCGATTTCGTTACAGGTAGTCCATACACCATGCAAGTTTCTCGCGAGACCTCTTACGAGGACCTGCAGAAGCTCATTCTCAAGGAAATGGCACCTATCTTACACGACGACATCCTAACTTCGTCGCAACCGCGAGGGGTAAGCCAACACCTCCCACTCATTTCCTAATTTTCAACCAATTGCACTTCGCCAGGTGTTTAAAATCCGCATCTCGGACCCCGCGTGCAACGACAATGAACCTCCGTGCTACTTAGAACCGGACCTTGAGCATCCCCTGTTCATGGAAGCCGTCGACCAAGCGCTGGCGCTATGTAGCGAAGAAGGAGGTCCAGCGCACGTTAAGCTCGTCATGGAGTTTAGTTCCAGTGCCAAATCTGCCATCATCGCCGACGACGGCGACCTCATCGAAGAGCATTCTTCCGTTAAACAGCTGAAGGCGCAGGCGCTGCAAGGCGGCGCACCTCTCACGCTCGAAGAGTGTTTGCGGGACTACACCGAAGCGGAGACTTTGACTGATGCGTGGAGGTGTCCTCATTGCCAGCAGTATCAGCCCGTGGTGAAGACGTTGGATATGTGGTCGTTGCCGGATATCTTGGTGGTGCATTTTAAGAGGTTCAGGCAGTAAGTAGCTGAGAGGGGAAATGGTTTGAAGAACATGGGTTTTTTTTTTGATAAAAATCTGATTACAAATTTGTTGGTAATTTGATAAGCATTAATTAGACCTGGTTTTGACATAAATGAAGTGAAATTACAGTGAAAATTCGTTCAAATGGATACAGCAGCACAAAAAAGGACTTGCTGTGTTGGTAGATCTTTCGTGAAGAAAAACAATACATTAAAAATTGGTCGAGGGTTATTAAAACATAGCTTCCCTCGCCCCGGAAGTGTAGACCAATAAATCCTGCTTCTTTGAAAAAATATTAAATAAATGCGATTTTTGTTTTCTAATAACCACTATAAAGTAAAAACCAAAAGAATTTTTCTGTTTTTCAATTTTTTAAGTTTTCAATTTTCAGACTTGAATTTCTGGAGTTTTCAGTTTTTAACTTCTCAATTTTTCGATTTGCAATTTTTCGTTTCAGTTTTTTATTGTCTTGATTTTTTCGATTATTCGATTTTTCAAAGTTTCGATTTTATAATTTTTTTTCCCAATTTAAATTTTTTCAGTTTTTCGATTTGCAATTTTCCAGAACTTTCGATATTTAATTTTACAATTTTTCGAATGTCCAGTGTTCCGATTTTATAGTTTTTTGTTTTGTCAAGTTTTCATTTTTAAATTTTCCATATTTCCAGCTTTTGGGTATTTCAGTTTGTACATTTTGCAATTTTTCGATTTGCAATTTCACGAATTTTCAATTTTTAATTTTTCAATTTTTCATTTCTTCCATTTTTTGATTTGCAATTTTTTGTTTGGGTTTTCTATTTTCTTTATTTTTTCAATGTTTGGATTTTTAAATTTTTCGATTTGCAATTTTTCGGTTTTCAATTTTCAGATTTTTCAACTTTTGGATTTTTCAGGTTCTCCATTTTTCAGTTTTTCATTACTTGAATTTTTGTTTCGCAGTTTTTCCAATTTGCATTTTAAATATGCATCTAAAATAATTATAATTTTGTATCTCTTCAAGTTTTCATTTTTAAATTTTTCAATTTTTCATTTCTTCTATTTTTTGATTTGCAATTTTTTGTTTAGGTTTTTTATTTTCTTTATTGTTTCAATTTTCCGATTTTTCAACTTTTAGATTTTTAATTTTTCGTTTTTTTATTATTAAATTTTTCAGTCCTTCAATACTCAATACTCAAAATCTTCATTTCTTGAATTTTTGTTTTGCGTGTTTTTCCAATTTTCATTTTAAATCTGTATCTAATAATAATTATTATTTTATTTATTTTTTTTATTTTTCAATTTTTGGATAATTATTTTTTAAATTTTTCTATCAATGTCACAGTATTTCGGCTTTACAATTTTGACGAATATAAAATCGTCAAAATTGAATTGTAAAAACAAATAATTGTTTTTACAATTTCTGGATTTTCCAATTTCTCGATTCGGTGTTTTTTCTTCTTCCCAATTTTTCAATTTATAATTTTTTTCGATTTTTAGGTTTTTCAGTTTTTCGTTTTTTCAGTTTCCAAATTTTCCGAATTTTCGATTCAAAAAAATGTAAAAATTGTAATATTGAAAACTCAAAATTGAAAAAACAAAAAAGCATAAAACGAAAACTTTGAAAAATCTAAAAACTGGAAATCAAGAACTTGAAAAATTGAAGAGACGGAAAATTGAAAATCGAAAGATTAAAATTTGAGAAACTCTGAAAATCGGAAAATCGGAAATACCAAAATTGAAAAATTTAAAAACTGGAAAATCGAGAAAGTGAAAAATCAAAGATTGAAAACTTGAAGAATTGAATAAATGAAAAATGATACAATCGAAGGAAACTTCGAAAAAATGAAGGAAATGAGAGAATTTGATATAAGATAGAGGAAATCAAAAATTTAAAAATAGAAGAAACGAAAAATTAAAAAATTTGAAAGTTGAGAAATAGAAAACAATGAAGTTGAAAAAATGAAAAATTATGACATTGCAATTTTTCGATTTTAAATTTTTATTGGTTTTCCAGTTTGTAAATTTTTAATTTTTCATTTCTTTTATTTTTCGTTTAGGTTTTTCATTTTCTTTATTTTTTCAGTTTTTTCATTTTTCAATTTTCCATTTTTGTTTTGCAGTTTTCCAAATTTTCATTTTAAATATGTTCGTAATAATAATTATAATAATTTAAAATTTTTTTGATTTTTCTGTTTTTGGATATTATAATCAATTTTTCCATCATCCAATGTTACGGTTTTTCGACTTTTCAATTTTAACGATTCTAATCGATTTTACAGTTTCTGGGTTTCCCAATTTTTCGATTCGGTTTGTTTTTTCTTTTTTAAGTTTCTCTATTTTTAGTTTTTCAATGTTTCAGTTTTTCGTTTCTTCAGTTCTTCGATTTGCAATTTTTCGATTTTTTGCCTTTTCGATTTTGCAATTTTTGGTTTTTCATTTTTTCGATATTTCAATTTCTAAATTTTTCAAATTTTCGATTCAAAAAAATGGAAAAATTGCAACATTGTAAAATTTTGAAAAATTTGAAAACTAAAAATCAAGAACTTGAAAAATCGAAAAAACTTAATATTGTAAAATCGAAATATTGGCAATTAAACAATTCGGAGAATCGGATAATTGGGAAATCTAAAAAGAGCAAAATTGAAAAATTTTAAAATTGGAGAATCGAGGAATTGAAAAAATCAAAGATTGAAAATTTGCAGAATGAATAAACGAAAAATGATAAAACCCAAAGAAACTTCGAAAAAATAAAGGAAATGAAGAAATGAAAATTTGATACAAGATCAAAGAAATGAAAATTAAAAAATCGGCAAAAGGAAAAATTAAAATCAATAACGTGAAAAATTAAAGAAACGAGAAATAAAAAATCGAAAAATTAGAAATTGAGAAACTTAAAAATCGAAAATAAAAACTTAAAGATCGAAAAATTGCAAAACTAAAAAATTGAAGAAACGAAAAATTGAAAAATTTGGAACTTTAGAAATTGAAAACAATGAAGTTTAAAAAACAAAAAAATATGACATTGCAATTTTTCGTTTAGGTTTTTTATTTTCTTTATTTTTACAATTTTTATTTTCCAATTTTGCAACTTTTAGATTATTCCTTTTTCGTTTTTTCATTTTTAGACTTTTCAGTTTTCCATTTCATGAATTTTTGTTTTGCAGTTTTCCTAATTTTCATTTTAAATATGTACCTAATAATTATTACAATTTTTTAAATTTTTTGATTTTTAATTTTTCAATTTTTGGATATTTATTTTTTCAATTTTTCCATCATTCGCTGTTACGGTTTTTCAACTTTACAATTTTGACTAATCTATTCGATTTTACAATTTCTAGGTTTTCCAATTTTTCGATTTTGCAATTTTTGGTTTTTCATTTTTTTCGATTTCTAAATTTTTGGAATTTTCGAATAAAAAAAATGGAAAAATTGCAAAATTGTAAAATTGAAAAGTCAAAAGTGAAAAAACGAAAAAGTATAAAACGAAACTTGAAAAAAGCTTAAACTGGAAATCAAAAACTTGAAAAATTGAAGAGACGGGAAATTGAAAAATTGAAAGATTTGAGAAACTCTAAAAACGAAAAAACCAAATATTGTAAAATCGAAATATTGGAAGTAAAGAAATCGGAAAATCGGATAACTGAGAAATACAAAAATAGCAAAACTAAAAAATTTAAAAATTGGAAAATCGAGGAATTGAAAATCAAAGATTGAAAATTTGAAGAATTGAATAAAGAAAAAAAATGCCAAAATCGAAAAAAACGAAATGAAAAAATGAAAATGTGATACAAGATGAGGAAATCAAAATTACAAAATCGGGAAAATGAAAAATAAAAATCAACAACTTGAAAAATTGAAGAAACGAAAAATCAAAAATTGAGAAACTTAAAATTCGAAAAATTTAAAAATTTGGAAGTTGAGAAATTGAAAAATAGAAAACAATGCAGTTGAAAAAGCGAAAAATTATGAAACCAAAATTTTAAAAAGTGGAAAAATCAAAAAATCAAAGGAAATGAAAAAACGAAAATTTGTAAAATCGAAAAAAAGCAAAACCGAAAAATTGTAATATCAAAAAATTGGTCGAAAATAAATAAATCCAGACTTTTCGAAAAATTATGAGATTCGATTTTACGAACTTTATTTTTTTATGTGTAATACGGAATACAACACTACTATATTCCTAAATTTTCTTGAAAATGGAGTGAATCGCTTTAGATTTAATCAATACAATAAAAAATATGAGGTGACGTCATCAAGTTTTTGGGAGGGAATAAACAACTAAATTTTGATTAACGATGTACCATGATCACGATAACTCAAAACGTTAAAATTTTCAGAGCATTCGGTTTTACAGTTTCAAAATTAAATGACAAAATGTTATTATACAATTTTGATTTTTTTTTTTTTTTTCAAAAGTTGGTTGTATAGGTTGCAACTCACAACGGATTCATACACCACAAGTGCAAGAGTATCTTATTTTATAAAAATAAAAACAAATTTACTATTGTAAATTTTGCAGATGACGTCATCAAATTGTTAGTGGGGATGATTAGCTAATTTTTGGTTGTCGTATTACCATCTACATGTTAGTCCTAATACACATACAAAACAACAACAATCGATCTAGTAGTTCCGAAAATTATATGTCAAATAAAAATATCGACAGACAGACGGACATTCGGAAACGGGAGACCAATTTCTTCGTACTCTAGGGGTCGTGAAAGGTCGAGGATCACAATAGGTACTTGCTTAGCTTACGCTTGGCAAGTAAAAATAAAAAAAAACCTACGAAAGATCCTATAAATGTATATATAAAGTGATTTACCATTTTTTTTATTAGTTTTGAAATTAAAGAATTATAGCGTAGTTAGTCAACGCACTACATAAATTAAGCTATACAAAACGAAACCTTCGTGTAAATAATTACTTTATCGTATAACATAGCAACTACTGATGGATTTACAGTCATGTTAAATAATTAAAAAACTGGTTTTGTTATTTTAATTAACCATGGGATTAAAGTAGATTTTTATGTACTTTTTATAAATTATCGAGCAATCGTCGTTAGTATTGTTTGTATTTTTGAATACATTAAAAAAATGTGAATAGTTAATCGCCACTTCTTGCATAGTTTATATGAAATTTTTTTTCTTATAGTAGGTATATTATATATTTTTTACATTTTTAACTTTCGCTAACCAGTGTCCAATAATAATAATACAACATAATTTTATTATTAATTTATCGATTTCCTGTCGAAAGTTGAAAGTTAATTTTAATTAAAACAGATGCCCAGAGGTGCAATGTTGTTTGTACTGTGATGTTATATTTTCGTTTTTATACAGGACTAGCTGTTACCCGCAGCTCCGCTTGCGTGGATTTCGCAATTAGGACACATTATTTTTCATCCCCTGATTTATTTTTTGATTTCAATTTTATTACTTTTTAAGTTTGTGCAGTCTTCATTAATAACAATATATAAAAGTGTTTGTCCCCCGCCTGACAAATCAACATAACTACTGGAGCTATAGAAACACGAAATTTGGACAGAAGGTTCCTTTCGTAATGTAAGCATCCATTACCCCTAGGTGTATGAAATAAAAACTGAAAGTTTGAGTTAGAGTCCCGTGAATTTTTAAATACGACGGAGGGGGGGGGGGTGAAACAAAGTTATTCTATAACATAGGAGTATAATACAGTACATCTTTTTTTTATAAGTGGCCATAAGGATTCCCATGTTAAATCTTATACCCCATGTTAACATATGTTTGAGTAAAGATTTAAAATATTTGGATATTTTTGTTGCTAATAGCTGTAGGCAGCTATGTAAAAACAAACATTTACCTGACCTATCTAACTTGGTTGTAAATTTGATATTATTCTGTATTTAATAAAGTTTCGTTGTGCCTATAAAAGTATGTCATAGCTAATCTCTCTGAGATAGTCTCTGTTTTGTATGACTTCTTCACGTCTTACAGGCAAACCATAGTACTCTCAACATTGTCTTCCTAAAGACAGCACCGTGTCTTTAATGGAAATCAGACACTTGTTGTACACTTCATTTATAATCTGAACACTCTCTTGACACTCTGACTTAACTTGACAAACCCAAAGCTTTGCATAATGACTGGTATGTGAAATAAACGACACTACCAACAGTTTTTAAATCCGAGAATTATGTTGGCCCTCTCATCGCATGAAGAAGAGGATCAAGGTAGAAACATACGGCGTTATTAGGGTGAACGGTGTACACTCTGTTCAAAGCTTGATCTCTTTTGACTCCCGACGAACCATCTACATTGTTTCCACTTTTTCATCTCTCAAATTTGGTACTTTTCCACACATAGTATTAAGGTACTTCAACATAAAGAAAGATTTTTGCAAAAGTATTCGCTTTGCAAAGCTCAAAAAATGATAGAGGAGTAGTTTTCTGTGAATTATTTACCTTTTCAGTTACATTATTAAAGTCGTTAGGATTAAAATAGACAGCAGGCCATTTTCCAAATGCACTGCGAGATGAAAAACCACTGGAAATTGTTCATGTATAGGAAAGGCCAAGATTCTCCAGCTGCTAATATATCGACCACTTTCATATAATTTGACCTCATCATTGTGATTTTCAAGACCAAATAATCCTGGTTGGATCCTTTATTAACACATTTGCATATATATTTAATAGATTTTTTCTTTCAGGAGAATTCAAGGATATTTTTTGGTATAGTTACCTCATTTTATACACGGAAACACAAAATTAGAATACTTACGGGAGAAATACTCTGACAATTCGTGACATAAAACACAACCGTCAACGCCGTTTTGGCCTCACGCGTCCGACCGCAGACCGCGTTCGCTTCGCAGTCGCTTACTCGGTGACGTCGCGCCCTCCCTATTTCTATACAACTTCTTCAATTTCAAACGCTTAGGACTGATTTTTCCAATAATCTTACTACCTCTAATATGCGAAAAACATATTTAACTATTTTAAACTTTGATTTTTAACCACTTTTGGATTAATACTTAACTTCTCCTGTTTCTCACATTTCCACCCAAATTATATTCCGTTGGGGATGAATATCAAAAAAAAAAATTTAAAGACAGTCAAGACAAACAATTTTACATGATTACCAAATTTCAAGTAACAAATGTGTTGGAGGGTATTAATACAACATTTCAAGTAAACATCGCCATACAAATATTTTTTCTCATATAAACTTTGTCACCTCATTTGATCTTCTTAGGGGTAGAATCTTAAAAACAGCTGAAATACGCGTTACATTGTTTGTGTTGAAAAGCATTAATATTAAGTTCCAAGCAAAAATTTGCAATAGAAATATTTTTCCCATACACAATTAGTTACCACTTTTTACCCCCTTAGGGGTTGAATCTCGGAAAATGCTGAAATACGTGTGTCATTATATGTGTTGAAGAGCACTAATACCAAGTTACACGTGAAAATGTGGAACAGAAGTAGTTTTCCCGTACAAACTTATCCACCACTTTTTACCCCCTTAGGGATTGAATTTCGGAAAATGGTGAAATACGTGTTTCGTTATTTGTGTTGAAAAGCATTAATACCAAGTTTCACGTAAATATTTACAACAGAAATGGTTAGGAAATAGTCTTCCTGTACAAACTTTACCACCCCTTTTCACCCTTTTAGGGGTGGAATTTCCCAAGTTCCTTTCTTAGTGGGTGTTTACATCACAAAAGCAAACTATTGTCCAAATTTCATGTTTCTAGCTGCAGTAGTTTAGGCTCTGCGTTGATGAATCAGTCAGTCAGGACAAACAATTTTATATGTATAGATATATTAAAAATGCAAACGAATGAAGTCATTTACTTTAGTAATGTAGTTTTCCAAACTTAGTTTATTTGCCCCCACTAAACAACTGGATGACTTATAACTAGGTTTGGTTCTTTAATAAAATTAATATTAATTATTCTAGTAATCAATTTCTATATTTTTAAATCGATACGTATCTAAATCTGAATCTAATGCATTTACAAAAAAGAAAAAACAAATTCAATATTTGTCATAATGTAGCATTAATATGCACAGAAGAAAAAATGTTTTAACTAAGACTTGGAAGGAAATAATTTTATTAAATTTTTATTGTAGAATTAAAGTATGTATGTGTAGATCTCTAGTTATATTTGGTATAATATTTGTAATTTTTTTGTTGTTTGGGTTATCAAAACCGAGACTTTCGACTCTTGGTATCATCAGTTTAGCAAGCCGAGTAAAATAACTTGATGTGATGTAATACACTATTTATTTGAAAAAACCTTTGAGCATTTGACAAATTTAAAAAATTATAAAAATTTTTGTTTTTGGGTAATCTTCAAACTCACAAAAGTAAGGTTTTTATGTCCTGTGGTAAAATATGTTTTTATTTACTTTATTTGTTTTTTAAGAGATACAGTATTGACAGAATTTATCAATTTTAATTAAAGATATACACATGACGTCATATCAATATCGAAAATACCTCCAGCTACGCATATTGTGAACAGTTTCACGTCAAACAGTTTAGTTTTCGCTTATTCGACATTGAACTATACGTAAATAATGCTCGCTAAAAGTTGGGCGTAATGGTTTAACTTTGAAGAATAACTAAAATAAAATTTCACAGTCAAAATTTATTATTATTTTTAATTCGCCCGAAATTCGTTAAAAAAGAACCATATCTACCCAAATTAAATCTAATCTCAGTCTTTGAGGCCAGGCGTAATCTGGCATTATGGAGATAACTCAAAAAATAGAAATTATTGCGTAGTCGTAGTACTTACGCCAATTTTGGTTAAAAATAAAATCATACTCAAAATTTTATTAACCCCTTGTTTCGTTCCAGACAAACCCTAAGAGGCTGCAACAGCGCCAAACTGACCACCATGGTCGACTTCCCCGTCTACAACCTCGACATGACACCACACCTGGCCAACAAGGGCAGCACAAACCTAAACCACGATGACAACCAAGTCATCATAACGAACGGATGGAGCCCCTTCAAACGAACACGAAAACAATCGAACGCCAACGACAACATGTACGACTTGTACGGCATCTGCTACCATCACGGTAGCGACATTGAGACCGGCCACTACACGGCCGCCTGCAAAAATCCCTACGACAACCAGTGGTACCTATACGACGACGCTAAAGTTACCAATCTGAGCAAACAGACAGACGATATAAGTGCACTTCTCGTCAACAACAGCGCTTACATTTTGTTCTACCAGAGGAGAAACGGGTTATATGTCGGGTCCAGTTCAAACACTAGTAGTGCAGCTAGCACCAGTTCGGTGGGGTCCAGTACGGACCATTGGGTGTCGCGCATGCCCAGGTTCGTACCGCCAAAAAATTTAAAGCTGATCGAAAACAAGAAACAGGCGAATAGTAGCGAGAAGTTAGTGGAAGAGAATAAGGAGAACGCGGAGGAAACGCAAAAGACGAACGAAGAGGTGGCGCTGCGCAACAGCCAAAACGCGCTGCATAGCAGTAGTACCAACGTGAGGAAGTCGCTGGAAAATAAGAGCACGAATACAGGTAGGGAACCCTAAATCGAAATTTTTTTGATGTTGATAGAGCACAATCATATTTTATTTTTAATTTATAATTCATTTTCGTTATTGACGTTTTTTGTTTTCTTCTTCTAACTTCTTGAAATCCAGGGAACGATGCCGAAGCGGAGCCTGAAGGGAACAAAAAACAGCTTTATACGACCAGCATTTACATAAATTCTAGCGGGGATGTGGACATTTCGTCGAAGGCAAACAAGGTGTCGCATGATGAGATCAACGTGTCACTGACTGAGCCCGAAGTTAGGAAGGTTTACACAACGACGGCGGCTGTCCACAGGTATTCAGATAACGTCAACGTTTCGAGGACACGCTTGAATTGGGTATGTTGACAGGACTGCTGTTGACGTTTTGTAATCGGTTTGTGTTGCAGATGTCGCCCCAGCCGGCCAGGAAATTGAACCAATCTCAACAGTCCGTTTGAGTGTTTTTGTTTCAAAGCTCACCATGTATTTTTGTAAATATTACATAAGCACTAAATAGTTACGTAGTTTTTTCAAGTTGCCTTTCAGCAATACATAATGAATGAGTTTCGTTGTTAAATGGGTTAACTTTCTGTCAATAGTTTTGTTTATAAGATATTTAAGAGATTTGTTTTATTTTTTAATATTTTATTTTTTCTCTGTAAGTGAATATTTATTTTTTTGTGAAACAGGGAAGCTTATTTATTACCGCAAATGTTTTTGTTAGTAAGTGGTGATATTAATTTTTTTTAATAAGTTTCATGTTAATCGTGTAATAGTAAAGATAAAGATATTTCTACTATTTATCCAATAGGTTGTTAAAGTTAACTGTCATGTAGTCAACGACAATAATTTTAGTTTTTTTTTTTCTTTTCTGGATGGCTTTATTTTGTTGTTTATTAAAATTGCTAGTCATAATCATGAAATACCAAATAAAAGAGTATTTCCATATATTCTTAGAGTTGTAAGGATCAAATAGTAGAAGTTGGTACTGTAACATGTAACGTGCCTTAAATTGGAATAAACATTATTACCCTTTGTTTACATCACCTGGTTAATAAATTTGTAAAAATTACAAATCTACCTATTCTTTTTCTTTTGACTTACACATCATTTGTGTAACTCGTGAGTTAAACTCATTGGCCACATATTTAAAATTTTATGATGGCATTCCTGTCAAAATGACAACTGTTAACTGACATACTAGCATTGCCGCCAATAATTCAGAACTGCCAACACAAAAATTTGCTTGAATTATTAATAGTCACCCGGTATATTTGACGTATTTCATATGAATTGGTACGCTGTGGTGACGTTTCTGACATTCTTGTTGTCACAAAACTCTTGTATCATATTGCTGTATGCGTCAGTAGTTCCACAGAGTTTACGTTCATTTGTTTTTGTCTTCGTCATTCAACTTTTTTCTTTAAATGACACCCTATATATTTTTTTAGAAATTCTTGTAATTTTTTTCTGAATTCGTTTATGCATCGTGATCGTGATGTCATATTTTGTTAAATATCATAATAAAAATCTACTTCATGTCAAAATTTGTGTTAGCAAGGTTGACAATTTTTGTGGCTTTTGGTAGTGTACTAATTTTGAAGTTATTTTGACATTCAAACTATTTTTTCTTAGTCGTTGATCTCCCGAATCAGATCGTAGTATTTTTAAATCGATTTAATTTAGTGCCACACAATGGTAAGTAGGTATGTTAAAGAAAAATGAGACAGCTACAGGCTTGGGTTTTAATGCCAACACACGGTATATCTGATGACCTTAATTCATTCTAGAGAACTGTTACAGCTGTCATTCTTACTCTGATATATTAATTAGGCCTTTATTTCTTTTAAAAGAACAGACGCAGTAATAAAATCAATGAACAATCAACCTATCACTCCCTATTGGTTAAAAAACACATGTTTTGAAGCCCGTTTTACAATAGGTAGGTATATGTTTACCAAAATCCTAACTCTAGCTTTCATGGAGTATTATGATGATTATGATTTATTCTTGTAGATTTGTTGCGGTTAAACGAAGACGTAGGTATGCATTTGTCATTTGGCGATTTTGGGGCATTTTATTCAGTTTAAGTCTTAAGTGGTGGGTGCTTGTGCTTTTCTCTTGATTTTATTAGTGTAAATTGGCCTTAATAAGGCTTTGGCACAGGCGGTTAATGGAGCTTTCACATGATCACTGTATCTCGTCGACACTTCCAATATCCATTCGTGCGAATTGGAAAATGTGGAGGAACCGTAAACGCCTCTTAAGTTTTTTATTTTTATGCATAAATGTTTGCTTGTTTGACAGGAAATCTGTAACGTTAAGATGATGCTTTTTGTTGACACAAACACTGTCGTATGTGTGTGTTATTTATTACTCATTATTGTCATACTAATAATGCAAAAGGACAATAACACCACCTTGAAAAGTAATAATGTATTTAGTAACCAAATATCCCAGCGTAGCAGACCCAATGGTAACTCGTGAGTATAAATCTTCCAGTGATAGTTAAAACCGACGGCATTTACGCTTATAAATGCTATAAAGATATTAAGTAGCAATAATAATAAATAATATTGATGGTAAAGTCAGGTGAAGTTTTAAAGGCAAATTACTTATTGTTTGTCGTATCTTTTATAACCTGATTTTAAATCGCAATTTATTATTAGGTACCCAACACAATCTGTTACAGAGTTTCTGCATTCCAAAAGTTACCTATTGAAAAGTTACCCAAATCTTGTAGTTTTCAGAGATGTCACGCTAACACGTGGTGTAAATTTGTTTTGTTTGTAAATTCACAGTTCATGTTAGGATTTTAGTCGTTAACTGATTCGAACACAATTAAACAGTCATGAGATTTGTTCAGATAACGTACTTACTAGAAGATTTCATGGGATTCACTTAGTCAGGACTCATCGTTTATTTACCAAGTTGTAAATAAGGTTTCTGGATGCTTATACTTAAGTGATACATTATAACACTTCTTAATTCCTCACACAAAATTGCTAATAGCTCATTTACGGCAGTTAAATCAAGTGGACGTTGTCCCACTCTGGGAAAAGGACCGTTAAAGTACCATAGAATTCATAATATCGTGGACTGAGGTGTGGGGGGTTAAAATGTTTACCCTTAGGCAGTTATTATCATCATATCATGATCACATCACCGAGACATTTTTCTCGCAATGTGGAAAGCTATATCACCGAGAAATTTTTCTCGCAATGTAGAAAATTACATCACCGAGAAGATTTTCTCGCAACGCCGGATGCATTTTGTGTTTATTTATCATGTGTTTTGTTTGGGATAACCTGGGGACAGTTCACGATATAAACTCTCAAACCTAATTGTTTTAAAGTAACCAGTCACTTAGATCGCGGCATAATTTAACATAATGTCAATTCTTTGTTTGAATCGTTCATAAAGTGTGGCATAATTTAACATTGGGTAAATTCTTTATTCTGACAGCGGCTATGTTGAAAGAGTATTTTCAAACCGAGCACATGTTTGAACTGTAAGATCTCGTTGAACAAATTAACAACATTGTGGGTCATGATTTCCACAGCGCCACAGGATTGATCTCATTTCTGAGAGATATATTTTTGACGCATTTTTTGTTTGAACGACGCATTCGTCCGACGCCATTTTGAGCCTCCAGATTAACTGCTATGTTTTTTTTTATGTGCTTATTTGGAGAAATGTAAAACGATGGCCCACAATACAGCTGGATAATTTCACTTAAAATTAACCACTAACTCGAATGAACATAAAATATTAACCTCAGGTAATTTTGTTAGCTTTGCAATTTTTCACCTCATATAATTTTTCTCTGTCTCACAATTTTAGCCTCAGTAATTTTCTTTTGCTGTATAATTTAAATTAAACGTAAATTTTCCGGCTCTGCAATTCCTAACCTCACGTAATATTTTTGTCTGCACAAGTTTTACTTCAGACCAGATCTTTTTTGTTTTTATAAATCTTTGCTAGTTTTTTCCGTGTAAATATTTTGTTGATTAATGTTTCCATCATATAAATGGTCAGTTGTCCAATCTAAATCGCAGATAAGAATCCTTTGCCGCTTAAAATTTCACGAGCGTGTATGGCGACTTTAAATGTTGTTTATTGTTGTTTTTAAACTTTAACACATGTTCAGTTGTCGTTTAATATCAGAGTTATATAAAGTGAACATTTAAAATGGAATTGAGGTAAATAACACAATAACACGTGGCGGAAGCGGAGTGCGCGGTTCTTTGTCGAGCTGCACAAAAGACGCAGATTTAGAATAGAAGTCAGTGGAGCGGTCGGGATGACGTGACGCTGTCAGCTTATTTATACTTGCCCTGATTTCCAACCAAGAGTTTGCGACCGTAACGGCCTGTTAGCGCGGCACTTTTCTTCGTTAGATAGAGGGATGCTGGGCGCCATGTGCTTGCCGATAGAGTAGAATCACCGTCGTGGAGGAGGGGAGAACAGCCACGACCAGGAGCCCCAAACTTCGCTCGTGCTACAACGCCCCCAATGGGTAATTTTGGTGTGTTCTAGAATGAAATTGAAGTAGTTCGATCACCACACTCTTATAGCGTTCTGATGCCGCTGTCGATGTGCGCCCTGCTGCAAAGAGTTTTTATTAAAATTTTGTTTTCTTGTTCACAGCCATAATTTTAAATTTTTTCCGTCACACGTCCCTAATAACTTGTGTATTTGCTTTCAGTTACTTTAATTAGAACGTTTAATTTGATTTTATTCAAAGTTGGGCAAGTTTTTTTGTAGCTGAGCATTAAGAAGTGTCTTCAACCGGCACAATTTAGTCGCAGATTTTTTTTTCTTATTTTTTTTTTTTGTCAGTGGAGGAATAAGTAATTTTGTGCCCTCCATATATGTATTTTGTATTTTATTTAGCGGTACTTTTCCAACTTTGGGGACCACCACTTGCATCTGAACGTATTCCGCCACAAAAAAACACAACGTAGGGTTCCATTTTGTTAGACGATTACAGCCAAGGCTAAATTTTTGAATTTTTCGCGGGCTTTCATTTTTTTTCACATGTCAATTTAAGGCGGGATGTTTGGGTTATCACAATGTTCTTCCCAAAAACATTAAAAAATTCGAAGAATTTTATTTGGCAAAATTGAAAGAGACAGGCAAACTGATTAACGATTTACCGTGCTTCCAATAATATTAAAATATTTGCAAGATTTCACAGCATTCGGTTTTTGAAATTCCAAATTAAATTGTAAAATATGTATTATGCACATATAAAATTTTACAACAATATGTCTTGTATTTTGGGAGATTATCTGTCTACTAAAAATCCGGACAGTCGGTAGATAGACAGGCAGATAGACAGACAGACAGACGGAAAGGGGAGACGCTTAGGTTTAGAAGGTAAAATTATGGTGGCAGTACTATAGAAAACCTATTCTAACTCCAATACGTCCCTTGTTCTCTTCTACAGTTGCAGCCCTGGTTGCAGCCATTTGATAGTAACTATTTGACTATTTGACAGTTATTTAAATAGCTGCAATGCCAAGATTATTAAATTGAGATCAATTTCGTGAACGAGACGACTTTTTTCGATCATATAGTACTAGGCAGAAAGGGGTAGACTTCATACATTTACCAACACTACTTACATCTTTAAAATTCAAGCGGTAGCAGATTTTTAATAAACTTTTTACCATTGTAGAATTTAAATTTAGAGTTGTGAATGTGTACAGACCTAAATTGGAATAGTAGTGAGAAGTTTGTAACGCTTTTTTTCCTGTTTTTAATTTGTTAATATACAGCTATAGGGCTTCCATTAAGGTTTGATATGTGGAAGGCCATATATTTTGTTTATGAGTTGGTACTCTTGGCAGATTGTCAAGGTCAATTTGCAATTAGGCTCGATATATAAAACTGTGTTTGTCCCCTGGGGACAGTAAGATTTATTGTGATTTTATTCGAATTTTGGTTGTTTTCATTGTTGTTGATTTAAATAATTTGGCTACGAATGTTTTCTAGATGACATTTGATGTATTAGAATTGTAGGTTACGCGGTGCGCAGTGATGCGTAGAAAGTACCAACGGATTTTAATAA